GTATATATAGCTGGGTGGTGGATTTCAGGGGTTTGGGGGTGGGTTTTTGGGCTGGGGTTGGGTGATGGTTTTCGATGGTCTTGGGTGGTTGTGCTGGTGGTTTTCAGTGGTGGGATTGGGTGGTGATTTTCGGTGATCAATGGATGGTTGTGCTGGTAGTTTTCAGTGGGGGGGGGGGTTGTTGGTTTCGGTGGTTGGGTTGGGGGAAGGTTTTTGGGCGTGGTTTTTCGGTGGTTGGGTTGGGGAAGGTTTTTGGGCGTGGTTTTGGGTGGTTAAAAGGGTTGAATGGTGGGGTTTGGATGAAATTTTTGGTATAATATCAGACATATTTTTTATTTTTGTTTTCATAATTTTTTAAATATAAATGACTACCAAATATGTTTTATATTTTTATCACAAAAAAAAAACTTAGTTATGTTTTTCTTATAAAAAAAAACATAAAAACGAAAATGTTACCAAACGCGCCCTTAATTATCATAATCTCTATAGCTTTTTTTTAATTGAAATCTTTATAGCTTAAAAAAAATGAGTTCGACACATCAAAAACTTATATAGTTGTATCCCTAAAGTGTCCAAAGTGTGTCAAAAAATTCATAATTATTTAAGTATGGAGACTATACTAATTGATCATATTAATTGATAGAACAAAAAATGATAGAGTAGACACACTTAAATATACTTCAAATTATTTGAAATATACATAAGTAATACTTTTTATTAAAAATTTGAGGGTGGGCATATGATCAAAATACTCCATATAAACTAGTACTATAATATTTCTCCATATAAATGATCAAAATATTAGTCATTGATAACTCATTTAATTAAGTAACTTAGGTAGCATTTGGTAAAGGTTTGTTTTCGTTTTATGGCAAAAAAAAAATAAAAACATGTTTGATGAATGTTTTTATTTTTTTTTAATTGCTTTGTTTTAAAAACAAGGTTAAAATATAAAAACATTTTAAAATGATGTTTTTGAAAACATCAAAAAAAAAAAAAACAAACGCGCGATTAATAAAGAGAGTTAATGAGGTCTTGACTTCGATCCTCCTTAGTAACAAAATATGAATTTTTTTGCTTTGAGTATAAAAGCCCATCTCGCTCTGTCTTTCACCCCCTCTCAGTCGTTTCTTCTCTGTGGCTCTCTCTCTCTCTCGTTCTCTCTCAGATGCCAAAGACTGAAGATGAAGACAAGTCATCGCCCCTCTTAGTTCTCTTTGTTTCTCGATGCCAAAGACGAAGCCAAAGCTATCGCCATCACCCATCCCAGTCGTCTCTCTCTTTCTCTCGATGCCAAAGACAAAGACGAAGATGAAGTAGAAAAAGGGGGAAAACATGTCATCGCTCCTCTCAGTCGTCTTCTCAAGCCTAGATCTATGTATATTGTCTGTATATATAGGTAGGTGGTGGATTTTGGGGGTTTGGGGTGGTGGTTTGGGGGTGGGGTTGGGTGGTGGTTTTCGGTGGTCTGGGGTGATTGTGCTGGTGGTTTTCAGTGGTGGGGGGCGTGGGTTGTTGGTTTTCGATGGTGGGGTTGGGGGAGGGTTTTTGGGCGTGGGTTTTCAAGGGTGGGGTTGGGGCGTGGTTTTGGGTGGTTAGAAGGGTTGAATGGTGGGGTTTGGATGAAATTTTTGGTATAATATCAAACATATTTTTTATTTTTATTTTCATAAATTTTTAAATATAAATGACTGTCAAATATGTTTTATATTTTTAATTTTATAACAAAAAAAATAAAACTTAGTTATGTTTTTTTTATAAAAAAAAATATAAAAATGAAAACGTTACCAAACGCACCCTTAGTTGTCATAATCTCTATAGCTTTTTTTAATTGAAATCTCTATAGCTTAAAAAAAATGAGTTCGACATATCAAAAACTTATATGGTTGTATCCCTAAAGTGACCAAAGTGTGTCAAAAAATTCATAATTATTTAAGTACGGAGACTCAACTAATTGATAGAAAAAAAAATGATAGAGTGGACACATTTAAATATACTTCAAATTATTTGAAATATACATAAGTAATATTTTTTTAAAAAAATTTGAGGGTGGGCATGTGATCAAAATACTCCATATAAATGATCAAAATACTCCATATAAACTAGTACTATAATATTTCTCCATATAAATGATCAAAATATTAGTCATTGATAATTCATTTAATTAAGTAACTTAGGTAGCATTTGGTAAACGCTTGTTTTCGTTTTTTTTTTTGATTTTGTTTTTGTTTTATGGCCAAAAAAAAATAAAAACATGTTTGATGAATGTTTTTATTTTTTTTAATTGCTTTGTTTTAAAAACCAGGTTAAAATATAAAAACATTTAAAATGATGTTTTTGAAAACATCAAAAAAAAAAAAAACTGCACGATTGATAAAGAGAGTTAATGAGATCTTGATTTCGATCCTCCTTAGCAACAAAATATGAATATTTTTGCTTTGAATATAAAAGCCCATCTCTCTCTGTCTTTCACCCCTCTCAGTCGTCTCTTCTCTGTGGTTCTCTCTCTCTCAGATGCCAAAGACTGAAGATGAAGCGAAGCCATGGCCCCTCTCAGTTCTCTTTATATCTCGATGCCAAAGACGAAGCCAAAGCGATCGCCATCACCCATCTCAATCGTCTCTCGCTCTCTTGATGCCAAAGACAAAGATGAAGACGAAGTAGAAAAGGGGGGAAAACATGTCATCGCTCCTCTCAGTCGTCTTCTCAAGCGTAGATCTATGTATATTATCTGTATATATAGATGGGTAGTAGATTTCGAGGGTTTGGGGTGGTGGTTTGGAGGTGGGTTTTTGGGGGGTGGGGTTGGGTGGTGGTTTTTGGTGTTCTGGGGTGGTTGTGCTGGTGGTTTTCAGTGGTGGGGTTGGATGGTGATTTTCAGTGGTCAGTGAGTGGTTGTGCTGGTGGTTTTTAGTGGGGGGGGGGGGGTGGGTTGTTTGTTTCGGTGGTGAGGTTGGGTGGTGGTTAGAAGGTTTGGATAGTGGGGTTTGGATGAAATTTTTGGTATAATATCAAACATATTTTTTATTTTTGTTTTCACAATTTTTTAAATATAAATGACTATCAAATATGTTTTATATTTTTAATTTTTATCACAAAAAAAAAAAAAACGTAGTTATGTTTTTTTTAAAAATGAAAAAGTTACCAAACGCATCCTTAGTTGTCATAATCTCTGTAGCTTTTTTTTAATTGGAATCTCTATAGCTTAAAAAAATAAGGTCGACATATCAAAAACTTATATGGTTGTATCCCTAAAGTGTCCAAAGTATGTCAAAAAATTCATAATTATTTAAGTACAGAGACTATACTAATTAATAGAACAAAAAATGATAGAGTGAACACACTTAAATATACTTTAAATTATTTGAAATATACATAAGTAATATTTTTTTAAAAAAATTTGAGGGTGGGCAAGTGACCCCCACCCCCCGCGGGGGTCCTCATGTAGGTCCGCCCTTGACTGGTAGTTTTGCTTATTTGGGATCAATGCTATCAGTTTATTTTGTGGGCTTGTTGATGTTGGTTTTTTAATGGTAACTAAATTGTAGAAAATAAGATTCTTGGTTTTATCTTCCCCTCCATTTTCTAGGCGGCTAAATGGGGTGTTTTATTGATTTTCTGTTCACTTTTTTTTTTTTTTTTTCAGTTTTCTGGTCAGATTGCCCGTGGTGTAACCATTTTTTTTCTAATAGACGAGGTCTGAACCGGGGTTTGTCAAATTGTGTGTGTGTTTCTATGTATGATACGAGATTACTTTACTTCTCATGAATTTTTGTTCTTACATACTTTAGTTCTCGAGCTTTTTCTCTATGCTCTTATTGGGATCATGCTATCTGATCTTCTAGTTGATGGTTGCAGTTGGAGGGGGGAAAAAACTTTTCCCAAGGTTACAATGTTTGGATGTGCCTATCAGATAGTTGTGTGCTCCCCCTCCTCTCTGCTTTTTGAAGCTCTTTGCTCAAATTGAATAGGGTTGATAATCTCAACCCTACTCAAAGGTTAAGATTATCGAATCTAATTTTTAAATCTAATTTTTAAGTTTATCTAGCATTACTCGTAGTGTTGAAAAGGCATCAAGTTGCTGAGTTGAAAGGCATTTGAAAATCTGAAGAGGCTGTCCAGTAAAGTTGGTTGGCAAAGGGGCCAGCAAGTGGCTCTGTGTATTGCCTTCAAAGAAACCTGAAGGGGCAGCATAGAGAATCGATTTGCTGCTGTTACACAGAGTATAAAAGCATGGGCAGCTGCTGGGAAAAAACAGAGACTGAAGGAGAAAGTCCCGGCAGAAGAATAGAGAGAATTACTGAGAGAAAACTAGATAGTTGCTGGGCAGGAAAGGGGCTGGAAAGCAGGAAGAAAAACAGAGTTTTTTGGGTGTTAAACAGAGCCAAAGCAGACTGTTTTGGCGTGAGGAGCTGCAGCTCCATTTCTGGCAACTGTTTTGTGTTTGTTTTTGCTGAAATTTCAGATAAGTAACTACCTTTGTATTGCTTGATATTGTACTCATTTTGATGAAATAAAGAAGAGTTTTTGGAGTGAATTTGTGTGGTATATGCAGCAGATTTTCTATCACTGTTTTGTTTCGTCTTTGCTCTTGTTCTTTGTGTATTTGGCGGAGGTTCTAGCTTCGATATTATCCAACAATCAGTAAATCTATATACATTAGCAACCTATCAGGGATTGAAGGCGTGCGCTCACAGAGAGAGAGAGAGAGAGATGGAAGCAGGATTAACATGATGAACTTGCATTGTTGGTGGCTAAACTAATTCAAAAATATTTTTAGCTTGCAAGAACCCTAAAAAAGTGCAAGCCACTGAACAAAGTTTCCGTTATTGTAAGATATAAATAATTAAAAGCGCGTAGTTTTATTCAATTTTTTTTTTTGACTAGAGAATACTACAACACTTCTACTTAAAAGTAGAAGTGTCATAGGTCCTTATAACTCACACACACACCCAAAGATTATCCAACGTGGGATATTCAAATTGAGTCTATATGATCAATTAGGTGATCTCGTCTTCATTATCGTCGGCTTTGAAGGAGGTCATGCCACAAGCACCACCGCTGCTCATCCCAACACACCGGTAAAGACTTGTTCCTATTATTTGGGCATCAACTAGCTAATGGGTACCACTGAGTAGAGTGGTTAAGTGAGATACCAGTTGAACTTCTCGAGTCTTAAAGTTTATATTAAGAATAGTGATTGATGACTATGCTATCCTAACTAGATTTGTTCTTGAGAGAAGTAACGGGCGCAATTAAGAAATTCATGATCCCACCAGTGCGAACATATCCAAATGATCTCTTAGCGTCCTGCCCCACCTCTTTTTTCACAAGCCAAAAAAAAAACTAGCTAGTGGGTAACGCCAAGCGACACAAGGGACACATATGCTTCCTTCGCAGCCACCTTACAATGCACTCTGCATGAAAAATATGAGAACAAGGCATGCGACTGACTTTGGTTTCTATCAAAAACTTTTCAAGGCATATGGAGCACAACTCCGCCGGATCATTGGAATTATTGACTTGCACCACCTCCAACGCCGCCATAGACGGTCTGCTAACCGGGGAAATTATTCCGTGCTCATCGAAAGGCCTCAATTCACTGATTGCTGTTAGATAATCTCTCTCGAAATCATCATTCAAACTTTTTTGCTCATCGTACCAAGAAGTCCAGGCCTCGAATTCATGGTGTGGTATCTTCACAGTCTTCTTGATTACTAATTCCAAAGGAAATAACTTGCGCCTTGTATTGCATGGTTGAGTCATCATTGAACAAAGAAACTCCAAAAGAGTCTCTATCAAACCATCTTCATCCTCCAACAAGGTGTTTGATGAATTCCCATCAAGTTGTGTCGCTTTCCAATGGACTCTCCTTAATGGGAATGGAACTTCGCGGATCATATTACAGATCCTGTTTCTCGACATCGAATCCTCTCGGAAAAGTCTCGAGTTACCCACAACATGGAATGTTTTGGATGTAGATAGGCCCGGGAAGCTACGTTCCACGCTTGTATCTTGGGAGTAGAAATCGACATTGACGTTGAATTTGATCAAGAACATGGGCAAAGGCAGATTTGGACGATCCAATAGCATGTGATACTGCCATGCAGAAGCTTCTATGCGGTAGTTTTCATGGGAGCTCAAGGGTGGCAGCCACGGCAGTGTTGGCATCTTAACGAGAGAGAGAGAGAGAGAGAGAGAGAGAGAGAGAGGATGATGGTAGACTGTAGTGTGATAGAATGCGAAGGAGATAGATAGACAATCTTGAGAGCTACACACACATATATATGTATAGTACTATAGCGGTGATGAATGTTAGTTTGACAGGGATTAGGATTTTACAAATCACTTTGTGAGAAGTTTCTTTCTTCTTTACTGGTTTTAGTTTAAGGATGAACCTATTGGAAATCCTAGGCGCTGGTAATTGTACTTGGTACAGGATTTGAATTGTTCCAATGTGGTAATTAAAAGTTTCCTTTTCTTGACAGTCAATAAAATATATGCATTTGACTTTTAATTTTTAGATTTTATTTAAGTTATCTAATGTTTTTTATTCTCTTTCACCAAGAAATTCATTTGCTTTAACATAAGTCATAAAAATTCATTATTCAAGTGAATCAAATTATAAAAAAATGAAAAATCTTACAATTTATGTGAAACACATCAAAGTGAACTTCTTGAAACGAGGAATCTCCATTGGTATGATTCACAGTTTCTAAATAACCAACTATAAGATGAATGTATTTATCACGGAGACACACGTATTAAAATATATCCGATAAATAAGTATCCGACAATGATAAGTATTTCATTAATTATTTGATACGATGTAAAAAGTATCCTATATGTATATGCAATCCTGATCAAAGTATCCATGTTTTATAGATTTATAATATTTAATCATTTTAACCAATAATTGCAATTTAAATCCATTATATTATATTTTATGGAGGTAATTTAATATCCAACCCAACTTTAATCTGTCTTGAATCTATATAAATATATCAATACATAAAAATATTAAATAATTACTTGATAAAATTAAATTGAAATTCATATATTTTGCTAAGAGACTTGTTGGGGAATTAGAATTAAAGAGGGCCTAGCCTACAATAGGTCAATAATTAAGTGGTGTCTTTGTGTTATTTGTCGTTAAAGTTATCTAACTAATATTATAGTTTTTTTAATTATAAATACGGAACAACGTTTAAAATTGATTCAATTCTTGTATATTTTAATCAAATGGTATAAAATTTATTTTTAATTTTTTTTTCTCATTTAAAAACCTCATCGTCTTTACACACACTACAATATTAAACAATTTCATTAATCGTCACATACCCCTCTCTCCTCTAAATTTCTCTTATATTCTCTTTGTTTAAATATATAAGAGCTTGATAGAAATTTTCCCTAAAATTTATGAGATGCTCTTTTATTTGGGCAAAAATTAGGGGCATAAATGTAATTTTTTCTAAAATAGAAAGGCTCTTGGTAGACCAACAGACGAAAGACGACGCAGTGAAATGGCGAAGAAAAAGAAGAGAGACGACTCGGAAGCACAAACGAAAACACGAGCACATGATGCAGGAGAGGATATCAGAGCAGCAACCGAGTTGGAGCTTGCCAACGGAGGAGACTCTCACGAGAAGAGAAAGAAGAAGAAAAAGAAGAGAGAGAAGGAGCAAAACAATAATATCGAACCAAATGAGTTACCCACAGTCAGCATTGCCTTGCCCGGTTCGATAATCGACAACGCCCAGTCTCTGGAACTGGCCACCCGAGTAATCTCTCCTTTCTCTTATGAAAAGTCCTTTCTTTTTTTTTTCCGTTTGGTTGCCGCTAAGATTTTGGAAAAGAAAGGAAAACGATTGTGCACGTTTAGTGTTTGATGATTGTGCCAATTGAAAAAAAAGGAAACTGGTACTTCTGCTTATTTAGGGTCGATACATTATTTTGTGGGTTTGTTGAGATGGGTTTTTAGTTGGTAATTACAATGTAGAAAATAAGATTACTGGGTCTATTTTGCTCTCTATGTTCTTGAAATCTATATGGAGGATTTTATTAATTTTCTGCTCATCTGACCACTCTCCTTTTTTTCCCCTCTCAGTTGGCTGGTCAGATTGCCCGCGCCGTAACCATTTTCCGAATAGATGAGGTTTGAGCCTTGGTTAGTTTTATTTTGTGTTAGTGTGAGTGTGAGTGTGTGTGTCATACGAGATGGTTTTTGTGATGTGTTCTAGCTTCAACTAGCATACATAGACTGATTTTTTTGTATTTATTGATCTGTGAGGCATGGAGGTGGGTTGTAATTTGGTTCTAAACATGTCAAGATAAATGCATATGAATTCAGAGCAATTTTACTCATAGATATTGACCTTTCATAGCAGGTTGTTGTATTTGACAACAAGGGCACATCAGTGGATGATCCTAGTGTTCCAATGGTGGACAATTCAGATGAGGATGAAAGTGGTGCAGCTTTTCTCATAAGGATCTTGAGGTACCTTGAGACGCCACAGTATCTGAGGAAGGCTCTTTTCCCCAAGCATAACAGCTTAAGATTTGTGGTGCGATCCAAGTTCTAAAGCATTAATTTTGATTCGACCATGAGGTTCATTATCTCTTGAATGTTATTAGTTCATGGAAACTTAATCATGTTTCTGTCTTTATTTGAAATCTGGTAGGGTTTGTTGCCCCCGCTTGATGCCCCTCATCATTTGCGTAAGCATGAATGGGCTGCATTTCGAGAAGGTAGATTTTTCTTTAATTATCTAAGGTCCAGTGCATTGTCATATTGACTACAGAGCTTAACGTATCCATTCAAGTACCTTCGCCTTCTCATCTTGTGATAGATCAAGACTAAAATATTCCTATCTTTTGAATAAGGTGATTAATACCTTTTATGTTCATGACATGGACGAACACTAAAGTGGATATGAAGATTGTGCGATATGGGACCTGTCACATTGTTGTTTGATTGGAGCTTGTAGTTGTTGCGATTGTAGTGAAGTTCCTCTTGAACTGGTTTGAACTTTTAAGAAAGTAACCTGTTTGTGACACCTATAAGAAGTGATGGATGTCTGCCCTTCTATGTTTAGTTCACCACTTTAGTTATCACAAGGCCTAAAATTTGAGTTGCATTCTTTCTTCAGATATTGCGATGAATTTTCCTTAAACATCAATCGGATCATTTTTGATTTAATGACATTTTACTTGATTAGTGACCATCTATTCATCTCTTGCGATCATTTTTAGGAGTCACATTAAGGGAACAGGCTCCAAATTCTGCAGGAACACTCGTTGATGTGGGGTTAAGTAAGGTTTGTTCTTTTTATAACTAAGTTTTCTTTGCCTAATTCTGTTTCATGCAGTTTCCACTTGTTATTAATTGATAATTTAAAGACTGATTGGTAAATATGTATAGATTTATCCGCATAGGAAGCTCTTAGACATGCATGTATTTAGTAATGCAACACTGATGTGTTCCGTTAGTGATGTTCAAAAGGCACATTCTTGATTGAAAAAAGAATAAGTACTTCCTAGATATATCAAAACTTCTTGTCTGATTTAGATCTCTCCAATACTCCAACTATACAATGACAGCTACATATGAGAAATAAAAAAGCTCATCCGATTGACCTTATAGATTTGTTGTCCTCAAACTCTCTTTCGGTTCAGGAAAAAAAAAGGAAAGAAGGAAAATAAGAAAGACATTTTCTTGATATTTAGTTAAAATATTGATGCCTAACACCCAACTTCTTCACAATGGGATGTAGGTTTTTTTTTTTTCTGAGATCTACTTAAGTGGAAAGTAATGGCAATCAGTGACTTCAATTATTTAATTGCTGTTTTTCGTATGAATTATTTCTTGATTTTTATTTCTTTCTGTGTGTTTGTGTAGATGATGGGTAAAGTAAGGTGTAGTTTTATCTGTTCATTGTTCCATTCACAGGCATATTTGTGTTTTTTTGAGATTCTTCTTTCAGTTCCTCCTGCAAGATCAACTATTGTATTTGCCTCTTGATTGTTTGTGTACATTTGGGTGTGTGGAAGTGGAGTTGTAGATGTGTTTTGCAATATTGAGGGTCCCATCAGCTGTATTTGGGGTGCTCTTTTTTTTTTTTGGCCAGGGGACCCCCATTATGGCCAGTCCAGTGCCCAATAGGCATCACTGTAACTTGATATGGATGGAGAACACAAAAACCAGAGAGTAAGAATATGTCTCATCTCATGCTGTTGCTTGTTCATTATTCGTGCTTTGTTCTTGGTCCATGGAGATGTTAATGAAGTTGTGGAATTTAAGCTTGGATAAAAGTGAATGTCTTTGTCCATTTGGAATTTCCTTTGTCTAGTGCACCTTGATATCTTTGACTTCTTGACTAATTTTGCTCCTAGTATATCCTCTTAATTCTTATCGGTGATCAAGGAGAGGAAGAAGGGAAGGAATGGTTTTCTTCTCTGTCTTTTTAGCATGCCTGTTGTATGCATTGAATTGCAATTTCTTTGGTTTCCATCAGGTTTTCCAAATTGTGAGCTTGATATAAATTGTTCTTTTGATTATATGCTGTTTAGTGCAGAATGTAGTAATTGATCAAGTACTTGAACCTGGAGTCAGAGTAACTGTAGCTATGGGAACCAACCGCAATTTGGATATTGGTAACTGATTGAATTTCTTTGCCTTTGTTCTTAAGTTGAATTTCCCTTTCATCTGCTGCTCTCCCTGAGCAGAGGCTGTCTAATAACTGATGGGTCACTTGCGGTGCCTTTTAGCTTGTCTGACATTCATGCTGTATGTTTTTGCATTGGGATAACTACAGTGCCATTTATCGTGAACTTGAAACTTCATAGCAAATGACATTGTGTAAATGTAATATACAGCGTGAAAGTTTTATGATGCATGATGAATAGTTTTTCCTTTCTTGTTCAAAGTGATTCCCCTCTTCAAGCTCAATGTTAAAATGCCTTTTCAGCTTATTTGTCTGCATTTCTACTAAAGTTTCATTGAATTCTTGAGTTTGGACTAGTTTTTTACTTAATGATTCGGCAGGATGTAAGAATGGTATCCCTATGGGGAAGAAAGGAAATTTCCCTCCTTTCGCATGCCAAGACTTTACCGCTGCACCATTACTGTTAAAGGGAGGGATCCTGAGGGAACTCTCTTCAGCCATGTGCACCCTCCTTCCTTCCCTCCCACCATATTGACCTTAGAGTATTACATCATCCATGCTGTTACAACTTCCACATCAAAAAAAGGGGAAAAGGTGGTGTTCTAATTACCCATTTTGGCCCTCATTATTTGCACGTGCTGGAGGTGTGAACTGGGCACAGACCTTAAGTCAGACATTATTTGCATAGAGTGGTTGCCTTCATATTTGAACTCACCTCACGCTGTTGGACCGCACTTTCACTGTACTAGGCAGTGATCCCATTAGGACTTCAACATGGATTGCAAAATCATTAACTTCAACATTTATTATTTCAATTTTCCAGACCTACTACGCCAAGTTGTTTCATCCTCCAAGCCTAGGGAGGAAGGTAGAATGTACTGGGGTTATAAAGTGCGATATGCTTCCAATATCAGTTCTGTCCTCAAGGACTGCCCGCACAAGGTATTTGATATATTAGCTAAATAATTTTCTTTTTAAGCCACAGTTTTTTACCTAGAAAATTTTGAAATCTCATCTTCCACGGACTTTTGAAATTTGTAGGGCAGATATGATCACCTGATTGGTACCTCCGAGCATGGTCTGACTTATAAGTCTTCAGAACTTACTCTACCTTCTTTCAGGTATGTTTTTCTTACTTGGATATAGCTTCCTTGAATTGTTGCTTTAACAAGTCACTAGCATAAGTCCTTATTATTTGAACAGTAATTGCTTGGTTGTAAAAGGCACTTGCTTTCTGATGTATTCATGTAAGAGACCACTGCTTGTTCTTTGTGCACAGGATGGTCTTGGAAAACACACTTTTATGTGATGTAAAGGATATGTACAAAGAAAATTTTGGGGCACTTGGAGAGTTTTAACTTCTGTTTTGGGAGTAATTCATTGACTGTTGGGTTGAAATTTTGGTGGGTCCATTAGTTTTCATGATGATTCAAATTTAGAAAACAGATTTACGTCTGATTTGGCAAATAGTGCCAAAGCTAGGGCCTGCACGTCTCTATTTCTTCCCAGGGTATTTTGCTTTGGCAACACTAAGCCTTCTTACAAAGAATTGGTGAGATTCCCAAGAGATAGTTAGGGCAGTACACTGTCAAGACATCTCTAGTCCTATGATCTATCCTCTGTCTAGTTTGATGAAGGGACCATAGTTAGTTGATTATGTTGGAACATAAAACTCGGTTGTGTAAGCTTCTACTCACGATTGGTGTCTTAGCTTTCTGCTCCTTGCAAGCTTTGACTGTATTAAGCAAGTTCTCTTATAACATCTAAAATGGAATATGTTTGTCTGTGTTGTGAACCTATTAAAGCCAGGCTTGTTGATATGCTCTCCTGTTCTGTAGGCACCTATTAATTGCTTTTGGTGGACTTGCTGGGTTGGAAGAGAGTATTGAAGAAGACAAGAGCTTAAAGGTGTTGTACTATCTAAATTTGTTCGATTCCATTATTAAGGGTACATTTTTATTGGTTTTCCTCTGCTTTATTATGTATTACCTTTTTCAGGGGAAAAATGTGCGAGAAATATTTGATTCATACTTGAACACGTGTCCTCGTCAAGGAAGCAGAACCATTCGAACAGAGGTATGATTGTGACTATATTTTTTCAATTACCAAGAAGTGAATTTGGTTCCAATTATCAAATCATGTGATCACCGCTATTTTTGCAAGCAGGAAGCTATCTTTATATCGCTTCAGTATTTTCAAGAGCCAATCGATCGTGCATTGCAGAGATTTGCTCTGCAAACTTAGTGGCATAAAGTTGTCAAAGGGGTAAACATTGAAGACTTTGAGAACCATGGAACGAATTTGGTGCTCTCAACTCATGACCCTGTAGACAGCCTTGCTGAAACTGATGAAACAGGATCATGAATGATAGGAGCCGACGATTTTTTTGGGTTTGGGATCTGGGATCTGGGATCTATCAACCTGGTTCTGGGATTACAGCAGTTTTTAATGTATGCGTCCGAGATTTGCAAATGTCAACTAGTAGGCATGAAAGTGCTAGTATGGGTGTATGAAAGTGTTGTGACTTATTGATATAAATCTGCTAATGCAAGGGTGAAATGCTATTTGCACTAATGCAAAACTCGAGATTGAATGGACTATCTTATTTTTCTTTTTCCTTTTTGGGTCAGGCACTATTGTAGTGGAGGGGGACGACGAAATTCGAAACAACTGATGTTGTTTTGTCGAAGTTGTTTAGAGCAAAATAAGAAGGGGCAGATGATACCACATGTCAAATGTTTAGAGCAAAATTTGCAATATCGAATCCGGAATTATCAACAATTAATATTTACTTCCAAAAATTAGAACAAACTCGACTCTAATAATTAATAATCTTGATATGTTCATAGTTATTTGAGTATCAATTCTTCTTAAGTATTAAAAAAAGAATAATTAAATATTTAGCATGGAAAGAAAATCCTTACAAAATATTGACCAATTGGATTATAGGTCAAATAAAAAAAAATTGAAACTATATTTTTCATGAAAATACACAGAAAATGGCATTTGGGAAGGTAATAGGGGTAGTTTAGTCATTTCACAAGCCTTAGAGGCGTCCACCGTCATTAAACATATAGTCAAGGACTTCTCCGTAATTTTACATAATCCTGCTGCTCGCTGTACAACCCGGATAGAGGTTTTTCGCGAGGAGAGAGAGAGAAAAATAGAGAGAGAGAGAGAGAGAGAGTGTAATGTAAATTTCTTTGGTTTTTTAGCACAGCACCGATAAACAGATTATATATATATACCTACTAATTTTTTTCAAATATAACGGTCTTCTTCCCGCCATGGCCATGGTGGCTGAGGTGGAGAGAGAAGGCTCGCTCAATGACCTCGAGCTAGACCACATAGAGAAGACGAAGACCTTGATTTGTGCCCTTAACCTTCTCTCTCGTAACCTCCCTCTTCCTCCAGACGTTTTTGATGCCGTTTCTTCCATCTATCTCAGCGATAATGACGATGAGAGCGACGCCGTTGAAGGCGGGGACGGTGCCGGTGGATCTGACGGCGACGCAATTGAGAAGGTTTTGGTTTCTTTGACTTTTCTTGTTGGAATGGAATTCACTATTGTTTGTCGTTGTGATTCACTGGGTTTGAGTTGTTTACTGTTCATTGTTGATTCGTGTTTTTAATTTCGTATTTTGTGTCGTTATGTGTACGTGAATTGCTGTGTTGATGAGTTACGAATGGATTATTCCTTTTCCCTGTTATTCCATTTATTTTGCATCTTTTTTTTTTCTGGAGGAAAAAACATTTTTTTGGATATAAATACCCGTATAAACTTGCTTCCAACTTGATTACTAAAAGGTGTGAAATTTGCCTGAAACCTTCCCGAAAAGTATTTATGTACGAGAAATAGAATCTCTGTTCTTCCCTATTTTCAAAAAAAAAAAAAAAAATCTGCCGTTTTGTTTATGATTTTTTTTTTTTTTTTTGCAGAAATCAATGTGATTTATGTTAATTTTGTGTTATTCTTCATATTTTCCAGTCACCACACTTTAAAAGGCCATAGGAAGGCATGGACTTTGCATGAATTGCTTATATGGTTGTGGGGAAAATAGATATGAAAACATTACTTGAATACTTTTTCTGCCAATTAAAAACACAGTTGGGGGAAATGGCAATCCCAAGAGGTCTGATTTGGGGGACTTTAGCGAGGTGTTGATCAGATGACATAATGTTAAAGGACGGATTTTTTTTATAAGGACACTAAATATTTGAAGATGGATAAAGGAAAGAAATTGCGAGAAGGAAAAACACCCATGTTTTGAACTGGGGAATCTCCATGGTTGTGCACAAATTGTTATGAAATTCCATGAAACTTGCCCATATATTGTTATAATGTGGTGTGTTTTTCCAAATGGTCATGCTATTAAACGTTGATGATGTACAGTTACATGATGAGTTTCATTTCGTAGAAACATTCTTGTCAAGATTTTAAACAATATGAAGTAATTTTGTAACTCCTTGTATGAATCAATTAACTCACAACATGATGCTGGGGGGAAATGAAACACCGAACCAGGGAGATTTGGTAGTTGCTGGGGTTTTTGTCAACACCTGCTCTCCATATTTATGGCATTGTTAGCACAAGCATGAGCAATAGATGATTTTGAATTAGAGAGAATCATGTGATTTTTATGTCATATATGTCACTGAGCTGCTGAAGGAGTAGTAGTCTGAATGGTTCATTGCTGTAGTGTGTGGCTATGTACAAAGATTTGATTTACTTCTGGACATAGGTGCATAACTACCCATGCAAGCCAAAGTTGGCAGTATTGGAAAGTATTAGTGATGCTGTATGTGAAAAATGTAGTGTACTATGATTTTTACTTCTTGTCTCTGACTTGGTATTTGATATTTGAACTTACTGATTATGATGCAGGAAGGTTCTGGGATTTCACATGAAGGAGATTTGATGACTGAGCTTGAGGATGCATTGGTGAAGCAACGACCAAATTGCATATCAGGTTCCGGATTGACAGAATCAAGGGAACATCGTGTCCAGAGTCACATCCAGCGGCGTTTAACTGAACTTGAAGGTCTATAGTTTGCAAAGAATTTTAGTTTTTTTTGTATAATTTTTGTGATAGGATACAGAATCAGAGGAACATCTGTGCAGTCTCTAGATATGGAAGCCCACAATGAAGCTAAGAAATAAATACGATTCCACAATCCTTCCACCATCTCCCTTTTACTGTCAAATATTTTCAAGTTTCTTTCCAACTGAATAACCCACACAATAGCAAAAAAAGCACATTGCCATTAAGTAATCCCTTTCCCACCTCCACCAAAGCCATTAATATCCAAAACAAAACATAGAAGACATGGAACGTGATGCCACCTAACAAAGCCCAATCAAGCCAAATAACGCATGCCACAAACAAAAAGCAACAGGGCAACAAGGAAAAATAGCTGGTCATTACTTTCTCTATCGCCTTTACATATGACACACACTATTGGGGTGAAAGAATAACATTGGGTCTCCTTTAGAGCACATCGTTAGTATTAAGCTTGCCATGATAAATAACATATGCACAAAATTTTACCTTCAAAGACAATTTAACCTTCCAAATCCTCAATGATGGATAAAAGTGTAATGGAAGGAACATCTATCAAAAACTCAAAGAAACATGAGAGAGATTGAAAATTTTGTTCACTTGTAAAACAAAATTTCATTCTTATTTGTACTTTTTGATGCTTATGCATATTGGATTGTCTTGTGCACCAATCAAGAATGATCCAAATCTTTAGGCCAGGAAAAAAAAAAGAAGATAAATGACAATGTAAGTCTTGTCATGCAAGTGGCATTCACTAGTTGGGTACAGAATGTTGGGTGATGATACTTTCTTGTGAACAATCACAACTAGAGTTTGATCTTTATTATGGTCCCAAAATTGCGTCAGATAGATGGAATATGTATGTATTATGCGTGTAAGATTTGTTTCTGTCTTGTAGCAACTTAGCATTAAGGTGGTGTAGTTTGTGGACTACATTTGTCCTACTTTTAGGACAGGTGTTCCCCCATTCTATGGTTAATGGGGTTTGACAATAATGCTGGATATTCTCATTTGTAAATCATTGTACCTAGTAAGTGGTCCTTGTTAGTTTAGAGACACGTCTGATATTAATGATCTCATTTGATTATTGATACCATTACATTCCTACTTAGTTTTTAGTGGAGCTCAACTTTCATTATATATTTTTCGAGAAGATTGCTTATACATTACTGTTGAACCAGAATTGTCAACAAGCAGAGGTGAGGACTTGCAGTCGAAGTGCTTGCTTGAACTATATGGACTAAAGGTAGATGTGATTTTCAGAGTGGTATAAATATTTGTTTATTGCTTAGTTGCAGTTAAGTCGATCAGACACAATACAAGGTCAGCAGCATTCATCTCAGCTTCAGGCAGTCCTTGGTTGCATTTTTGTGGAATGATTCTTTCCCCAAACATCTGTGTTAGCTGCACACAAGGGAAAATGATCTTTAGAAATGAAATAAAAGAGAAAATAAACTTGATTTCCCATTTCTAAGTGTGGATTTATTGAGAGCCCCAAATGCAACTTAAATAATGAGTTCTTGAATCAATTTCTGGCCCTATGATTGTTGAATCAATTCGATATTTTTTGGTCTTGTTGACAATATTTTTTCCCTGCCAGCTAGCAGCATTGCAGAGCAAAGTTCGGTCTGATGTGAGTTCAGAATACTGGCTTCGTATAAATTGTGTGTACCCAGACAAGCAATTGTTTGACTGGGGCATGATGCGACTCTGTCGTCCTCTATATGGTGTGGGAGATGCTTTTGCCACGGAAGCTGAAGATCCTCTGAAGAAGAAACGGAATGCAGAGGTCATTTTGTTGTTTATATTTTACTTATTTTGGCTTGAGAGTCTTAATTTTGTAATATTATTTTGGGGATATGGGCCACATAACTTTATTTTATATGCCTAGTGTTTAGCTCTACCTTTTTAACACAATGATGTCAATGATTATGAAAATACATCTCATTTTATGGATCAAATATAGTGTGACCAAATTTAATTTGATTGTTGATAATTGATAAATTTAGTCATGTAACATCTGGTGTGTGGAACCGCGGAAAAAGTGATGGTTATCAGTCTACCAACTGATCTTTTGCCCTTACAGACACCCAGAATGTGCCATTGATCAGTGAGTCTAAGCTTAGGAAGTTTATAGATGTGACCCAATGGCTGTGAATTTTGCCCGTAGATCATGTTGCCTGAAAGTATTATATTATCCAATTGTGAGTATAGCATAATTTCCTGTAAATTGCTGATGAGTGAAACACCTTTTCTGCAGCGTCTGTCAAGGTTAGAGGAAGAGGAAAAGAATCGTGTCGAAAGCAGAAAAAGGAAATTTTTTGCAGACGTACTCAATGCCGCACGTGAACTGCAATTGCAAGTACAGGCTGCTCAGAAACGACGCAAACAAAGGAATGATGGTGTTCAGGCATGCCTTTTCTTTTCTTTCTGTTTTACCTATCTTTCTTCTTTTCCTTTTTCTTTTTCTTTTTTTTCTTCTGGTTTAAAAATTGCATCCCAATGTTTTGTGGGAATTTTGAAGTAGGAAAGTTAGTCGGAACTGAATTCAACCCAGAAGGATGTTAATTTTGTGTTTTTGGCAGAATTTTTTTTTTGGGGTTGTTAATACAGATAATAGCACGAAACTTTGGGAAACCAAAGAACTTAGGTAAATATGAAGATTTTTAGAAGTATGGAGAATGTTCATAAGCATTACAAGAGGCCTGGGAACGTCAAGTATGGCATACATCACTCAATCCTTGAAGTGAATATTTTTTTTTTGTTTACCTTAAAAAAGTTATTGGACATCAATATATTGAGCTATCAATGAGTAGTTTGCAATTGATTCTTCCCCTTTTCCATGTTTTGACCAAATCCTCATATTTTGACCAGCAGTATGTGGTGTATTTGAATTTAGAGGACCTATAGATTTGCTCTGTTTCATACTAAACATTTTCCATATGCAAGAACCTTAAACATGAAGTAAGTTTTGCATATGTCGTAACGTTATTAGTTAGTAACTTGAGAGGAAGGGTTAGGGAAATTCATGGATTTATTACATACTTGGAAAGGTGGCTTATGTGGCTATGACTCGTGAACTTTTATACATAAACAGGCATGGCACGGAAGGCAACGGCAACGTGCTACACGGGCTGAAAAATTGAGGTTCCAAGCTCTGAAAGCTGATGATCAAGAAGCTTACATGAAAATGGTTGAGGAGAGCAAAAATGAACGATTAACAATGCTTCTTGGAAAAACCAATGATCTACTTGTTCGTTTAGGAGCTGCTGTTCAACGTCAAAAAGATGCTGAACATGATGGCATTGAACCCTTGAAAGGCTCAGACGCTGACTTGCCTGACTTGACTGCTTCGAAGAATGGAATCCCTGAGGATTCACTTCCTGAGGAAGATGAGGACATCATTAATGATGAGCCTGATCGGCGTGTTAAGACAGGTGATCTACTTGAAGGCCAACGGCAGTACAATTCAGTTGTTCATTCAATCCAGGAGAAGGTAATTAATTGAGCATTGATTACCCATTTACTTTTTTCTTTGTTCTATTGTTCCAATGCTTTTGGCTTCTCCTATGCATTTGAACTCATATACTTCTCTCAGATTTTACGTTCAGGGTGTAGGAATTCGCCTCCCCTAGTGAAATAGGGCATCTTATGCTGTTGAATTTGGTGTTCCTTTTGTTCGTTTTTTGCAAAGAAGTAAAAGTTTTGGTGGCTGGTTACATATAATTAGCTGTTTCATGCATAAATGGTCATATTGTCTCATATTGATGCCATACAAGAGGTGGATACAATCTGCAAGCCCTTGAGAATTGCCACATATAATTTCCTCAAACTTAACCATAATAGGGTGTTGCTCGGCTCCCAAACACTTCACACCTTACCGCATATTTGTGTTTAAAAATCCCTCACATAATTATGTCACTTTACTGCTATTTATCAAAACGATGGTTTTTAAGTGAAATGTAGATTCTAATCAAAATTTGAACTCTATAGGTAAGCGAGCAGCCATCCATGCTACAGGGTGGAGAACTAAGATCGTACCAATTAGAGGGGCTTCAATGGATGTTGTCATTGTTCAATAACAATCTGAATGGAATTTTAGCTGATGAAATGGGGTTGGGAAAGACAATTCAAACCATTTCCTTGATAGCATATCTCATGGAAACCAAGGGTGTGACCGGGCCCCATTTGATTGTGGCCCCAAAAGCTGTACTTCCAAATTGGATTCATGAATTTTCAACCTGGGCTCCTAGGTATGCCAATAACTCTCTCTCCCTCTCTCTGTATCACATACACACACTCACTGTATGTGTGTGTATATGTGCGGGCGCGCTGTTTGTGTCTGTGTGCAAGCCTTCGTTTGCGTGCATGTTTGCACACGCCAACATAGTCTTAATCTTTAAATCATATATGGATTTTTTTTGGTTCAGCATTGTTGCTGTTCTTTATGATGGACGCTTAGATGAGAGAAAGGCGATGAGGGAAGAATATTCAGGGGAGGGAACGTTCAATGTGTTGATCACCCACTATGATCTTATTATGAGAGACAAAGCATTTCTGAAGAAAATTCACTGGCACTACATGATTGTTGATGAAGGACATCGGTTGAAAAATCACGAATGTGCTCTTGCGCGGACTCTTGTCTCAGGGTATGCTGCATGCAACATGTAGTCCTTGCTTCTTTTAGTTTTTGTAACTACTTTTGTGCTATCTTTCTTATCCATCTTTTGTTATCTATTACTATTATAAAGGGAGAGGGAGGGTTTGGTGTTCACATGTAAAAGACATATGGTACCCTTATTTCTTCCCACCCCTTGACCACCCATAAATCCCTATCTACTGCATTTAGCCATCCTTATTAAGTTATTTTTCTTGATCTTTTCTCACCCCTATATCTCTTCCTCGCCATTTCTCTATCTCATTCAGTTGTTTACAAATTGCAATCACGCACATGGCTGATTGTGTGCCTGACCCACTAGGCCTTTAATAAGTGTCATCGCTATGAGAAATTTGTCAATCACTAATATGGAGTGATCTAGTTTTTTTTTTCCGATATTGTGTCAGCTAAGTAAGAGTCAATATGAAGTTCTGCGGATGCTATAGAGTCTTATGCATCTAATAAGAGTGAAATAATTTATTCCCAATAAGACAAAAAACTAAAACAACAGAGAAATCAAAGACTCCCGGACATGGGTAGGGGGCAGAGAGGTGGAAATTGTTGTCCTTTTACTGTGTCCTATGTTCTTCTGGCGCTCTTGGAATTTTTTGTGCTGTCTCAAAATTACAAATATTTTATGTCCTGCTTCTAGTCCTGCATATTCTTTCTGACAAATATCCTCAGTCTTCAAGCCTTCATATATGATGTTGCTGGAAGAATGTGAGATGGGGTTCTCTAATCGAATTTATACTTTATGAAGCTATCGGATTCGACGGAGACTTCTGTTGACTGGTACCCCGATACAGAACAGTTTACAGGAATTATGGTCCCTGCTTAATTTTCTCCTTCCAAACATTTTTAATTCGGTTGAGAATTTCGAGGAGTGGTTCAATGCCCCCTTTGCAGATAAGTGTGATGCCTCTTTGACTGATGAAGAAGAGTTATTGATCATTCGCCGTTTGCACCATGTAGGTCTTGGCTCCTAGAGTGCCTTTTGTTGTTGTTCTCCTCAACTTCCACTTTGTAATACATTTTTTATTCCCAGGTTATAAGGCCATTCATACTGAGGAGGAAAAAAGATGAGGTGGAGAAGTTTCTTCCTGGGAAAACACAGGTCATATTGAAATGCGACATGTCAGCATGGCAGAAAGTATACTATCAGCAAGTTACGGATGTGGGGAGGGTTGGGCTGGATAATGGTAAGTAGTTTCTGCTTTTAATTCGTGTTTGTGTTTTTCAAGAGATAATGGCTGTTGTCATTGTGTGTTGATTGTCTAAAGATCTTAGATTCTACATGTCTTTAGCCTTGATTCGCATGCTGGCTTCAATCTTGAACTTTTTCCGAATGTTGGTCCATCATGCCTTTTGCTCTCTCTCTCTCCCTCTAACAACGGTAAAAAGATGTTAGACATTCTTTCTACAAAGTTAAATGTTCAACTGACATATGAGTTATGACTGTTAGGCCTAATCTTATCAGGGGTTTTGGAATTGAAATCCGTTGTAGACTACCTTCCAGAAAAGAAAGAAAAAAGAAATTTGTCTCTCGATTTTTTTAAATGATGGGGCTATTTCTTTGGTTGTCATTTTGCTTTCTGAAAATGATGTTTAACCTGTTTATGTATTGATAAATTTGTCTATTGATTTTTTTCCTACATTGTATAATTAAAGGGTGGTTTTATTATTATTTGTTCTTGGTCTCGGTAAAAGTTCAGCATTCATTTTTATAGTACTATTTATTTCTGAAAGTTCTGCAAAGTGTTTACCAAGAGAGACTGGTTAGAAGTTTTTGTACTTGCTTCAAGTGCAGAAGCGGCTTTGTTGTTGATTTCAAAAGCAACCAAAAAGTCTTGCAGAGGGTTAACCAGATACTACTAACTTTTTGTTTCCCTGTTTGTTGAAACTTGTAAACTTTCCGTGTTATTTTGTCATATATTTGTAAGGTCCCTTTAGTTGATAAGTGGACAACAGTTTGGTTGTTGCCGCTGTCAATGTAATTGTACTCAAATTCCCATTTTATTCTGTATTCGATGTTCTTGTCTTCAAATTTAATCATATTGGTTGTGATTTATATTACATTTTTACTCATTCGTTTTCATTTGTGGTTAAGATTTGCCTCGGGTTTTATTGATGATATGAATTTGCAGGGACGGGGAAGTCTAAGAGTCTTCAGAATCTGTCGATGCAGCTCAGAAAGTGTTGTAACCACCCATACCTTTTCGTGGGCGAATATAACATATGGCGCAAAGAGGAGATCGTCAGAGCTTCAGGAAAGTTTGAGTTACTTGATCGTTTACTCCCCAAACTTCATAAATCAGGGCACAGAGTCCTCCTTTTCTCACAGATGACCCGTCTCATGGACGTTTTAGAAATCTATTTGCAACTTCATGATTTTAAGTATCTTAGACTTGATGGCTCCACAAAAACTGAGGAAAGAGGGTCTTTACTGAGAAAATTCAATGCTCCAGACTCCCCTTATTTCATGTTTCTACTGAGTACTCGTGCTGGAGGTCTTGGTCTAAACTTACAGACAGCAGATACTGTGATAATTTTTGATAGTGACTGGAACCCCCAAATGGACCAACAGGCAGAGGATCGGGCACATCGTATTGGTCAAAAGAAGGAAGTAAGGGTTTTTGTGCTCGTTAGTGTTGGATCAATTGAAGAGGTTATCTTGGACCGTGCAAAACAGAAGATGGGAATTGATGCCAAGGTCATCCAGGCAGGGCTATTCAATACAACTTCCACAGGTTAGTCTTTTATGGATGAATTTTAAGCTGCGACCCCTTCTTTTTTGTATTATTGTTTGAGGCAGGTTCAACTTTGTTTATGCAGCTCAAGACAGGAGAGAGATGTTGGAAGAGATCATGCATAAAGGGACAAGCTCTCTTGGAACAGATGTGCCTAGTGAGAAAGAGATCAATCGTTTGGCAGCCCGATCAGATGAAGAGTTCTGGCTGTTTGAGAAAATGGACGAGGAGAGAAGGCAGAAGGAGAATTACAGATCTCGTCTGATGCTAGAACATGAGGTACCAGACTGGGCCTATGCCGCACCTGATACTAGGGATGGCAAGGGGAAAGGATTTGAATATGATAGTGCCAATGTCAGTGGAAAGCGAAATAGAAAGGAGGTTGTCTATATGGATACACTTAGTGATTTACAGTGGATGAAGGCAGTGGAATATGGAGAAGACTTATCTAAGCACTCAATGAAAGGAAAGAGGATGATGATGCATCTCCCTGTCATGAGCAATGAATTGACTGGAAATAATGTTGCAGGAGAGAGGAAAGCAATAGAATTGAAGAGTGAAACCGCATCTGTAGCGAGTGAGGCAACAAGTGAAGATACCTTTCCCACCTCGAAAAGGTCCAACTCCGAGGCTGTGAATTCCCAGAAAAGTGAATATGAAGGGTTCAAAGATAGCACATGGAAGGGGCTAACATGGAAGACACACAAGAGAAAGAGATCCAGTTTAGTGTTGTGAGTTAATCTAATGCAAGAGATTGGAATTATAACAGCGGAGGAGATGGATGAATCTGATTGTTATGGCCTCCTTGAACACTGCAAGTCTGCAATGGAAGGATTCGATAGTCTGATCTTCATATGGCTTTCGCGTTGGTACTTCAGCTGCTCTACATCTGTGAAAGGGGTTGAGGTGTAGTTGTGGCTATCTGTCCATTTACTGGCTCCCTGGTGCAGCAAGTATGAATGAAAATGGCCCTTTTAGCTTTTCCAGTCATGTCTTATGCTCTCTCTCCTCCATTTTCATTCAATATGGATCAAGTTGTCGCATATCAGATGTCCTGTACAATAAACCAATTTGTGTAGTGACTTGTTTTTTCTGAAGTATGGTCCGGGAAGGAATAGTCTGCACAACATTGTGAAGTGACATTGGTAATGTAAACCCCCTCCCCCCTTTCTCTCTCCCTCCTTCAGCTGTACAGGGAGATAGATATTTAACATATTATACATTGCCTGCCATTCCTCTCGGATTTTGTCAATCAATAGTTGCCCGTCAAATCACATACAATTGATTAACCATGGCCCCTGACAAAATTGCATAAGAGCTTAGAGCTTTGGTCTTGGGTGGCTGCTAAGTATTCAGTTAATTTGAAGATAAAACTATCAATTCAATTGATCGAAACACATGCCAAAAGATAGCCTTTTTGATAATATTCAACATTAGGTACTATAATATTCAAACAGTTATTATTGCTGAATTTCTACAATTAGCATGCTCGATAAGTATTGAGCATAGCCGACTGCACAAAAACGAAGCTTTCATCATTGTAGAGTTTAAAAGATTCGTTATGTATACAGTCTTGTTTTGCAAGTGAAAAAAATTATTTCTCTAAATTAATACATAATGTATAAATCACAATAAAAATAAGGGTTACTTATAAAAATGTCCTCTTTAATTTTGGGTAGTTTGCAATTGACTCCTTCGGGTTTTAATTTCAACAAATAGTTTTCTTTAAGTTTGAATATTTTGCAATTAACTTCAATAGTTATTTTTAGATCATAAAAATTGCATGTCAAATTCACGTTATCCCTATTTTATTGAAAAAACATAATTACTCTTGCACCTAATTTTTTTCCTGTACCAAGTATCCATACTCCTCTAACTAGACCTATAACTACCCATACTCAAAACGCTTCCATCATTCTTTACCTCAGATGGTTAATTCTTATTTCTTTCTTTCTTCTCATTGAAACCCTTTTTTCTCTCTGATGAGGTGGAGATGAAGGTGAAGATGAATATGACATTGCATAGTGTGTTAGTGTTGGGCCGAATAGACGTAATTTTTATCATGATTTTTTAAAATTTGAATTCAAGAATGTATATAATATAACAGAAATTAGAAAAATTAAACATCAATCTCATATACTACTATATGATGCTTTCGATTGAACATAACTCTAACTAAAAATTGCATGTCCCATACATGGATAGCTTTGAAACTTACACAACATGAACAAATTTATTTCTCATACTCCTAAGAGTCAGTTTTCTTTATTCATAAGAAGAACATGTTTGAAAATCAACCGGATCATAGTGACCAATATTCAAGTTTAAGAGTATAATCGACGAAAACATAAACGCTGGTTGTAAAAAAAGGAACAAAGTCACTGTGCAATAAAAGAAGCTAAGCGCTTTATGAGATTCTTTGCATTCTCAGTGTCGGGAGTAAAGATGTGAAAACAATGGTCCTCTCCTTCAACCTCAACAAGCTCCACTTCACCTTTCCACCCACTTTCTTCCTTCACAGCCTCAACATAATGTACACCTCTGTCCCTTAGAGTATCCTTCTCTGCAACACACACCAACACCTTTGAGCATCCAAGCCCCGACAAGCTTGGCGCATCATCGGCAAATGGATTGATCATCGGGTTGTCGATGCCACCAGGCGCCGAAGGATAAACAAACATCCACATCCTGTATATAGAAATGTCAATCGATTCATATCATATCATTTTGAATTTGTCGAAATTATCGATCAATCCTAACTAACTTCACGCATTTAATAAAAGTATCAGATACTTTAACATGAATCAGACCTATTTATTAACCATTGTGCTAACTCCACTGTTTATTTTACCTGTAAGTCAACATCTGTTCACGGCTTTCACTTGGCTCCGATCCCAAAGGCTTGGATCCCCAGAAGTAAGGGCAAGAAAGAAAAGCTCCCAAGATCTTCAAATCGCCATGAAATCTCTCAATACCAGCACGCATGGCGATGTTATGTACAATATTACCTCCAGCACTGTCCCCACCAATGAAAACCCTCTCAAAATCGCCATGGTTGATCAACCAGAGTTCTTTATCGCCACCATCATCATTTCCGTCAACGGCGTGTGAAGCGACCCACTGAGTAGCATCCCAGCAATCTTCATAAGCCGCAGGCAAAGGGTGCTCTGGAGCGAGCCTGTACTCGACTGAAACTACAAGAGCTTGCGATTCAGATGCAATTAGGTTCATGTATCGGTGGTCCAAGAAAGAGAAGGCGGATTCGACGCAGAAGGCTCCGCCGTGGAAGTAGACTAAGATCGGGAGCTTTTGGGTGGTGGTGGTTTTGGGGAGGTAGAGTCTGGCGGAGATGAGTGGTGAGATGGTGACGTCTTTGGAGGAGACACCGGTGGTTTGGTCTTCTGGAGATGGTGGGACGTGGGGTGAGCCAAAGAGTCGTTCTACCGTGCCGTCTTTGTAGACTCGGAGGGCAGGGGTAAGGTCAGTGGCTATCTCCTTGGTGGCGGAAGCCATGCGCGCGCGCGAGAGAGAGAGGTATGTAAAGGGAAAGCGATAAGCTTTGTTTTTTTTTTTTCCTATGTACCAAAAAAAAAGATAAGCCTTTGACCCATCCACGGTGTTTTGAAAAAAAGGTCCGAATAAATACACAGGTCGTTTTGAAAATAATTTTTAAACACAGGTGTTTTTTAAAAATGCCAGTTGGGGCTCGAAAACGTCAGTTGATGAAAAATGTCAATTTAATTGAATTGATGCTTTTAAGTTGTTGTAGAAAACTCAACACCCTTCAAAATGTCGGTCTAATTAACGCCTCGTAAAAACGCCAATCTAATTAAGATTTTTAGTGATAGATTTTCTGTCTTTTTTTCTTAAGTAAAATATTAAATGTTTATTTAATAAATAAATTAATTATATTTAATAAATAAACTTTGATAATTTAAAAATATATAAATTTTATTCGTCCTACATATGTTTTTCTTCTTAATAATGATACCTAAAACTGTTTTGCTCCCTCTCTCTTTTAGTGGGTGAGTTATTTTTTATTTATTTAAAAATTTAATTACATTGAATAAATAAATTTTGATAATTTAAAAAAACATAAATTTCATTTGCCCTATTAACGTTTTTCTATCTAACAATGATACTTAAAAATTTTGCTCCCTCTCTTTTTGAGAGGATGAGTTTTTTTTATTTATTTAAAAATTTAATTATATTCAATAAATAAATTTTGATAATTTAAAAATACATAAATTTCGTAACAGATCAAACTTTAAAAATTGAAAAAGTATACATATAATTAATTTTAATTTTATCATATAATTATAAACGCATACATAAAATAAAATAAAATTTTATTTGTAATGTTGATCATATCGACATTAATGTTAATTAAGCTGTGAAAAAATAAAAGTTATTTAGAACATATACATGCAAAAAAAGGATGTCAATAACGTTGTTGATATTCAAAACAACATAAAGAATTATCGAGAACACATAAACATGATGGTATAAAAGTGTCAGATACATCATCGTCCAAATCAAAAATTCAAGATCAGAAACAACTAATGGATTCTCTAAAATTTTAATTTTGGCATATTCAGGATTAAAATGCTCTATTTTTGCATAATCGAGTACATGAAAATGATCAAGATGACGCTACATTCGATCATTTTCACGTTCAAGTCTTAATATGACCTCATCATGATTGTTTGAATTCTGTGAATTGTAAATATCAGTTGAACGCTCCTTTGATACCGTAATTTCATGTCAACGACAAAATACTTCAAGATCACAACATTTGTCATATAACTGTCGTCATCTTGGCGTGGGTTCGATATAAGCATCTAGAGGTGGATAATCAGTTGCATACCCAAAATTACATGTCCACCTTGATCGAATGGGTGACAAGGTTGATAGGCTCATTGCGGAATGCACGCTTTTGTCCATACTACGTTATACCACTGGAATCAATATATGATTCGATAGAAGGAACCTTGTTCAGCGATATTGAGTTATTAATTGAGCGTTCACGTTTGTTAACCGAAGATGAACTATTTTGGTCAGTGTGTGAAGAAGAACCTAAATGTGATGTATACATTTTATTTTGTGGTGGTAATTTACACAAATGTGAATGTTAGTATATATACGCTCAATTTGACAATTTAAAATTGCAATGAAAGAATATCACACTGTAAAGTTTGGAACTGATTTTACAACGATGCAAAATAACAATGAAAAAGTTGGGATATGACAACACACTGAATAGACTGATAAAGACACGGGATTGATTAAAGTAAATAGGACATTATACTGTAAAGTTCATAACTGATTTGACAATGACAAGACGTGACAATGAAAAAGTTGAGATATGACAACACATTGAATAAACTGATAAAACCATAAAATTGATTAAATTAAATAGGACGTAGACATAAACGTTATAAGCTTAATAAGGTGGGCACTAATTATATTTATTAATTTTCATCAGACATATACTCATTTGAAAGGTATTGTTCATTAGATAATACATTAGATCGCTCAGTAGTTGTCAACTCTTTGTCAAATGTAGTTGTCACCATGTCAGATGCTATTTGGAGCATATAATATCGGTATTTACGAAACATCATCCTATTATTCTCTTTTCGTACACGTTTAATTGTTGCTTCATAGTTGACTATATTCCTTCACGGCATGGTAAGTGAAAGTTTTTATGGTACCAGGATACCAAGTTTTTTCAGATCAGTGCATAATGACTGTTTTTCATTAGCACGAAAAACTCATTCTCGACAAAGTCCGACATAATACTTATTTGGATCAGAAAATCTCTCACTCTTATAATCATCATCTCGCTCTTATAATAATCATATTGGTTCATGCGTACCGTTGATATCACCTGCTCGTGCTCTTGAAATAAACAAAATGTGCAATATATGTTATATAAACCACCATATATTCTGTTTTTATAGTAGTTTTCATTGTCTGAAATAAATACATTTGTCAGTAGTGCAGTAGTGTATAATCACCTTTATGTTTGAGTTGATGGTCAAATAGTAAAAAAAAATTGTGCAGTAAGTGTGACTACACACTATTACCTCTCAGCGTAACCAAACACTGGTACGTAATAAATGTGACTGCACCCTAAGAATGTATTACATTGATTATAATAGATCCTAATTCATCATGCGTCATAGTGATTCACGTCTATGGTACGTTTAACAGTATTAGGGTTTGTTGTTGTTAACTACTGTGTAGTCACAAGATGTAGAATGTGACAAAACACCAATGCATTGAAGTGCATTGTAAGGTCTTCATTAACTTGTGTTGTTGAATAAGAAACAGTTACAATAACTGACAATTGCATCATTGTCATTCATTGTGACAACACACTAGGTTACTATGACTAATTTCTGCTTAAATGTCAGTCTGTATGATTACACACTGCTTTATTGTCAGTAATTGTCACTACATATTAATGTGTAGTCAATTATATCAATTTCAATTCAATTTTATCAAGTAACTAAATATTTTTATGTATTTTGGACGTGTATCACATAAATTTGTCATTTTTTTTGCAATTTGATTCACTTAAATAATGAATTTTTATGACTTATGTTAAAGCGAACAAATTTCATGGTGAAAGAGAATAGAAAATATTACACAACCCAAATAGAACTTAAAAATTAAAAGTCAAATGCATATGTTAGATATTGATTCATGGACCCGAACCGGGGCGTCCATGGTTGTTTGACCCAAATTAAAGAATCCCCAAAAGGATATGTCTTTTAGAGATATCATTTACCACCCAAAAAATATGTCTGTTAAATATTAACAGGCATGTCCCTATAGAATGTGTCTCTTAATGACACACATTAGTTGCCTATATAAACTCAAGTCAATCCAATAGATGAGACACCTCTGATAATTCATCTAACGTTAAAACTCTCCTACTCTCTTCTCTCTCCCTACATAACATTTGTAAGGCTTTTGTCCTGTAAAAAACCTGGTGTTGGTTCGTCTTATGTAACAATATCATATTATTCGAGCAATTAAAAAAAAAACGTTGATTTAGATTCTAAAGTACGTGGAACATCTTCAAACGATTTTTTTTTTGGATTAAAGCGAATAATGTATGTTTTTAATCCTACGCTTTTGCGACATGTTTTACGATTTCCAACATTGGTATCAAAGCCATTTAGAATGTTCTTGCACCTTTGGGATAAATTATCAATAATTTAGAAACATTGTTTTTTTACCAAAAAAATTCGAACGAGCTTTAATGGTATTCTGGACAAATGGTCTTCGAATGCATGGGAATTTAATATATTGTAGTGCATAGATAAATGAATCAATCTGGGAAGTTTTGTGAGAAACGATCTCATGGTTTGACAGTACCAATTTTTTTGAAATAAAAGTGAATTGAGAAGGAATTCGTCACTTTCGACAAACTAAGATTTATTTTTCTGTTGTCCAGGAATTAGACGTGTTTTCCTACTTATTTCATGATGACAAAGAGACTGCAAAACAAAAACAAAAACAAAATACGCTATAGGGTTATTTTTGTTTTGACAGGTCGTATGTTCCCTTAGTCTAGTGACTCTAGTCAAATGGCAGAACCAATATATATATATATAGAGAGAGAGAGAGAGACAGGGAGATATATATATATAAATAATAAAGTAGAACGATTTTAAATTCAAGAGATAAAGAGCGGTTCAGATTATTTTGAGATCAAAAAAAGCATTATCCAACGGCCGACGATATTTCAAACTATCTCAAGTTATTGACGTCTTAGATTGCTTCGATCCGATGTACCATATTAGCTCTTGAAAAATTTTTGCCGCTCAAAACTTTTAGCTTCAAAAATTAACATCCCTAAATTTAATTCTCCAACTCAATCAAATCCGGTAATTAAGCAATCTCTCATTTCTCAATTCTGTCTCTCTCTCCCTAAAATACATATTACAACCCTTATCATTATTTTCCTGATTTTATTTCTTATGTTAAAGGATCACTTTATATACTGAGATATTGATTATCTCTCACACTCTCATCTTTTATTATTTTCTTTTCAAACTGAGACTCATGTCTCCTTAAAATTCTATCCTAATGGAACTTCTCTTCATCTTTACTGTTCATATCTTACATTCATTTTTACAGTACAAATCTATAGTACAAAGATCAAAAACATATTATATCTACATGTTATATCTTAGAAAAAGTTTCATCTGAACACCATGTAGTTGAGTCTAAATTCAATGACAACTCCTATAACAATAATTTTTGTCTCTCACAGTAGATAAAATAATGATTTAACTAAATATTTTATAAAAATACTAAAATTACTTTTTATTATATAAATAGACTAAATTGTCTTCAATTTTTCCCCATTATATATGCGCTAGCCAGCCAACAAACGTAATTTCAATCATTATATTATCCCAATTAATTTTTTTATTTTAAAACGTCGTATTATAACTTTGTTATAATATTAGTCATCATATTATCACTCATTTGGTTACATAATCAAATTTTTATAATTTTTATATTTTTTTATCATCATAATTTTTATAGTTAAAAATAATTTTTT